TTTTTTTGAAAGCTATGCGCGAGGCCACCGCGAACAATGTGGTCTCATTTCTAACACAAGAAGTATTCAATAAGTTCGGTGTGCCAGAAACATTGCATTCTGACAATGGCAAGCAATTTATAGCGAAGGAGTTTCAGAAAATGATCAGTCAATACAAAATTAAACACCTAAAAACCGCCTTTTATGCTCCGCAGTCCAATGCCGCCGAGAGGGTCAATCGGTCGGTATTGGCTGCGATAAGATCGTACCTAGACGAAGACCATCGGGAATGGGACCTCTACATATCGGAAATCGAATGTGCTCTTCGCACTTCGGTGCACGCAGCCACGGGCGTTACGCCCTATTTTGCGTTGTTCGGACAGAACATGTTCACGTCGGGAAATGACTATATGCTTGCGCGGAAATTGTTGTCGTTAGGCGCCGTAGATACAAATATTGTGAACCGCGAAGATAAACTGCAATTACTGCGCGAAAAAATTAAAAGTAAATTACACACCGCATATGAACAAAGCGCGCAGCGATACAATAAACGAAGTCGCGCAGTGCACTTTAGGCCCGGTCAGGAGGTGTACCGACGAAACTATGTGCTTTCCGACTTCAAGAATAATATTAATGCTAAATTTTGCCCCAAATACAGAAAGTGTCGCATCGTCAAGCCCATAGGCAACAACATGTTTGAACTGGAAACACTACAAGGCAAGTCATTAGGAGCGTGCCATATCAAAGACCTAAAGCAATAGTTTTTTTTATTTTTTATGCCCGGCTGAGTCGGTAGAACATGAGCTATAATTATCTCAGGGAGTGGGCGTGACCTACGCTGGGCGCCTTTAACAGATGTTAATTCCAAGTACCCTTTTTAGTAAAAAAATGTAACAGCTAGGCCGTATTTCAATATTGAGACTGCACCAGAATTTCACCACCTTATCAGGCTTTCGTCGCAGCTGCAAGCCGATAAGTCGGTGCGTTGTTATGTGAGCAGCCCCCGTCATTCAATAAATTTTTATTTGATATTTTTTTTTTGGAGCAATCGTCTAATTTATTAACCACAGATACGTAAACCCATAGCACATCTTTTCGTTAAAATCTAACTAAACCTATTCATTTATTGGGAACGACTCACCACGGCACTCCGAGCCCATGCGTTGGGTGCTCCCAACGCGTCACTCCAATCGATGATTCCACGCGAATGTCTGGAACCACGCCGACCCAGAAAAAGAAAGGAAAAGCAAAAATCTAACAAAAGAATGAGGTAGACAAGGCGCAATGGATTTAAAATAAAGTAAAATTAAATTCGAATTCACTTACCTCGCGCTGCTTGAACTCCTTGCAATTTTATTTTCTTTGTTATGATGTCAAATGTCAAAAGGACAACAGGAAGAGAAAAAAAAAGGAAATTTTTTTTTTGTACCGATTGGCGTTGCCGTACTCGGGCAGGGATCAATTGTAAAGATAACCGGGTGGCGCACGATTTAAAAAGGGAGGGATATAGTGATAGGAGATATACACGAAGGACCTTGGCGGGAATCTTATACATAGGATAACGAGGGGTATAAAAGGGCATAACAGCGCTCGGTGGTAGAAAAAAACGCTATCCAACCTTGTAATGGCAAATACGTTGCCTCTGTGCGCGAGTGTAACTTCAATTTCTAAATTTTTAATGTAAAGCCTATGTTTTAGTGTGTGTAAAGCCAGTGGATTATAACTTACAGGTGGGAATTAGAAAAATAAATAAATAAAGTTGATAAAAATGATTGGGTAATTGATTTGCATAGGAACCCCACTCGGCACCACAAAGGAGCACCAAGAAGGATAGCCTCCATAGCGATATTTTTTTTATGTTTGGTGGAAAAATCAAAAGCAGGAAGTGTAAGTCCAGTCCACTGTCGCGCGGTTATGCACGAATTTATAAATTTCTTTGTTGCAGTGCGTGAAGAAGCTGGAAAGGGCGCAGAGGCAGGAGCAAACGCAACTTCCTGTAAGTCTTAGCTTTTAATTTGTACTTATAAACGTTTGATAGTACCCGATTATTGGGACCCCTCTGTGAACGTTCTGGGCCGATCAGGCAGCGTTCCCGGCCTTCCGAGTGCTAAACCGGTTAAGTCAGCTAGGTGTGAACCGCTCTGTAGTGGAACAGAACAGAAGTCACTGTTAACGTCGGTGCTAACCGCACACGTTTGGGACAATAAGTCAACTCTACATAATCGAATGAAAGCGCAAGCTTGAAGGCTGAGGGACTCATACAGGCCAAAGAGCCGCCTAAATGTAGTTATCGCTATTATCATTGCCTATAAAGATCTTTTTTTTTTTCTTTTCTTATTCTTGTGTTCGTCTTAGCACTTGAAATTGTACTACCGCTTTTAGCGTTTTAATCTTGAAGTCTGTAAATTTCCCGCACAAATCCAAAAGATTTGTAACCCAGTAAATTTATTGATGGTTGTTTCTGGACATCTACACCCCTTTCTAAGAGAGCTCCCTTAGGCAGGCAAAAAGGAATTTTTTTTGTTGTAAGATATGTATGTATATATGAACAAATTTTATGGGCTGTTGAGCGGTGGAATTTGGCGCTAAGAGTTTAATTTTGTGTTAATTTGATTTAGATAATCTGTCTTTGTTTCCAATTAATTTTAATTAGTGGACCCTTATATAAACAATAAAAAAAGGGAGATAAGTAAATATAATAATATTTTTTTTTCTTTGTAAGCTTAACTTTAATCCGTTTTTTTTTTTTTATAATTTAAGTTCTAATCGTTTTCTTTCCAATGTTTAGTTTTAATATTTTTAATAAAATCTTTGTTTGAGATGGCCGAAACTATGTATTGAGATCATCTTGTAAAAGGGGGGTACAGCGATGGCATGGTGAGTGAAATGGAGGTCGGGTAAGGTGTTGGTGGACGAACATATTACGGGGCTGCAATGGAAATGTCACGTTGGATTTATGCAGCCTAGGTAGGGTGGGCCGAATTAAAGTGAGCGTGTAAGGTGGCGAATTTTTACTAAATTAGTTTGTTCTGACATCCTCCACTCCTCGCCCTGGTTGGCGGGTTCGAAAACCCACGCCCGAAACTTGGAGCTAGCTGAAGCAACCGACCAGGGACGATAGATTTGGGCGTGGAGTGCATAGCGCTCACAAGAGGATGGGTCACAACAAAATGGCGCCCAATCTAAAAAAAACGCGCGTTTAGAAAATAACGCGTTTCAGTGTTACGTTGTAATAGCGCGCCTAAAAGAATTCCGTATTGATACGTAGTTTCCGTTATGCTTTAATTTTTTTTTAATTTTTCTTGTGTAAAATCCGGATATATCTAAAATAAAAATTTTTGCTTGTCTTCAATTTTTTTTTATCGTCGCTTAAGATACTGGTGGCTTATAAGGGTGAATCGAAATGGTTAAACAATAAATGCACCAATAGAACCAAAGGTGATGAAAGTTTCCTCAAGATGGCGTGTTCAATTTACCGAAATTTGTTCAAATGCATCATTTAACTTTTCTATTTTTTTTTTTGTATAATTTTTATTTTTTTTTGCTTTTCCGGTAAGTTCTGCGCTCGGTGGCTTGGTTACTTACGCGTAAAGTAACCAAATGCACCGACAATCATGATCGAAATATATCTTTTAACTAGCTTACTCTTTACAAAGTTTTTTTTTGTTCATGACAAGGAATAAAGAAGTTTTTTTTTTTTGGTGGCCTCAGGAGTAGCCAACATTTTTATTTTATTTTTGTGGTTATGGTTTCGTTGAGGTGATCGAATAGTGGCCTAACATATCCAGGGAGATGCATTAGTGGCACTATGATCACCTTGAACGGACATAATGCCTTTAATTCGAACAATTCTCAATAAAAAGATAGTTTTTGTTAATACGGGAATTCGCCAACTCCGCCTTACATCAACTTAATCCGATATTGGTATACGTCCAACAACACTTTACAATGGCAGAAAAAAAAAAAAAAAAAAAAAGAGAACCACGAACTTCACTCGGAATCCGCCAGAGCTTACCCCTGACCAGACAGGCAAAGTTGAAACAAAACAAAAGATTTAAGATACAAACCTTTTTCTAAAGTGGTCTTAAGGCCTAAATAACTTAAATAGCCCATTTCGATATTTTTTCCCTTTTCTTTAATGGTAAGAATCTAAGTTAAATTTAATAAAATTGAATACTGTATGGATAGCGCGGAAAGGCGTAAACTCACATTCGATCTGAACAGAAGAGTCCATAATTATTATACTCGATCGAAAACCGATAGCGAAAATACCATGTTCCGCACACCTAAAAACTTAGAGAAGGCCGGGGCGGTCGATGAATCATTTCAAGATCTGTCGGAGACAATAAACATTAGGAGGGATACAGTGGATCGTTCGCGAAATCCCTTACCTTTTCCTAATGTAGCTTCTCCAGCTCGTTGTACCAATCAATCAATAACCGAATCCGTAGCTATAACTGCGCCCGATTTAAGCTTCCCGCCGCAGCGGACCAACAATGAGGGGCCGTCGGCTACTGATCAGCCTTCTCTGGAGCGCAGTTCGTTGCGCACAGAAATAGATACCATTGTCAGGGATAGGCTAAGCAGGGTACAAGAATCCTTAAATAGGAAAATGCAAGAGGAAATGCGATTAGGCTTCCAGGAACTAGTAGGTATACTTAAAACAACTTCAAATCCTTTACCTGGTACCGCACCTGCGCGTGACTCGGCAGAATCAAATAATACCAGCCAAGAGTCCTCGGGTGGCCGTCCTCGGTCAATGGTAAGGCCTGGAAATAATGAAATTAATAAAACCTATCCCAAAAATGCGTCACACTCAAATCGTGGTGGCTTCAAACAACGACAGCAAATGTCCCGATCCCAGCGTCCACGTCAATACAGCGAATTTCCGCCACAACCACCTAGTCTTCCGCCGCTCCAAATGGCAACCTATTTGGCACAACCAGCGCCGTCTCGTTCACAATGCTCAGTTCAGGCCGGCGAACCCTTGGGACACGAGCAAATCGCGGACGAAAACATGCCACGCCAATTACCGCGGGTAGCGCTAGCAAATCCTGGAATGCAAAATCAAAGCCAGTATCGCTACGATATTAAAATTGATAAATGGGGGTTAACATATCAAGGCCAACGTGATAAAATCACCGTCGAAGATTTCATCTTTCGATTGGGTCACCTCCGTTTGCAGTATGGATACTCATGGGAAGACGTGATGCGTGAATTCCATCATCTACTCGCCGGAGACGCCCAGGAGTGGTATTGGCTGTTTATAAAAACGAACCACGTACCTGATTGGCCAAATTTGCAGCACGCGCTCTTATGTCGGTTCGGTTCGCATCGTAACGATTACGAGCTACGTCGAGATCTCGCCGAACGCCGTCAGCAGCCTGGGGAATCGGTCGACGCCTTTTTCCATGCTAATAGTATGTTAAGATCGCGTCTGCGCAGCCCCATACCGGAATACGAGGCCGTAAAAATCCTCAAATGCAACCTCCGGGAATCCTTGGCGAGAATGGTGTACCCGATGACGATTCACACCGTAGAGCAGTTGCGAGTTGAATGTATCGAAGTGGAGCGAAGTTTTCCGAGACGGGATCGGCAAGCAACAGGCGGAGTGTACCAACAGCGAGCACACCAGGTGCATGAACTTGCAGACCTAGACTGCAGCGACCACCGAGTCAACGACGATGAGGGTCAAGTCGTCGTCGTGAAGTGAGTCCAGCTTGGCAGCCAAAGCGCGCGGCAATCCGTGCCGTCCAGCAGCCTAAGAAGCCGCTGACTTGCTGGAACTGTGGACAAGAGGGGCACTCCTTCACGGACTGCATGTCTTTGCAGCGAAAAATATTCTGCTTTAAATGTGGCAAGCCAGAATGTATAACTCCAAAATGTCCGAAGTGCGCGGCGGGAAACGTAGCCCGGAGCGCGACAAGACCGGAGGAGTCGCGCCCCCAACAAATTCCGGCGGAAGAATAGAGCCTTGTAAAGAAAACATAGCAGCAGCGCCCGCAAGCACCTGGGATGAAAGACCTGAAAAGGCGCACAAAATTACGATATTAAAACGAAACCCGATTGTTAATTCAAAATTTAATTCTAGCCAAAAACTGATCGCTGGAAAGTCTCTGGAAGAGCGAATACGTCATTACTATAGTGCTCGACAGCGCATTTTTCAGCAACACCAACTTGAAGGAGCTCGACGCATAACCAGGAAAGTGCAGAAGGCGCGTGAACGATATCAGAAGCGTTGATCGGAACGCCTCCACGTTGCGGAAGCAGTCAAAAGCGCGGATACAAACGATCCTCGCATTTTCGCCGATGTAGAAATACGAGGAAAAATTATTAGGGGTCTCTTAGATACAGGTGCTTCGATCAGCATCCTGGGGAAAGGCTGCAGGGAATTAATTGAGGATCTGGACCTCGAAATTCAACGCTTTGTGTCCACGGTGAAGACGGCCTCTGGACAAAGCCATGCTGTACTTGGCAAAGCTACGGTGAACGTCAAATATAGGGATCAAGAACGCAAATTAACTTTCTACTTGTGTCCTTACCTGGAACAAGTCGCATACTTCGGTATTGATTTTTGGAAATTGTTCGAGCTCGCTCCTGACGTCATCGGTGTGGCGGAATTGGAAGCTGAGAGACTCCACCAACTCTCGACGAAAACCACTGAAAGGGATCTGGCGATGCACGAGCTTTCGCCGGAACAATGCCAAAGGCTCGACTCAGTGAAGCAAAAGTTCCAAAGTTTCGAAGAACACGGCCTTGGCCGGACGCTCGTTGAAAAACACACAATCCAACTTGTGAAAGGTGCCGTGCCATTCAAGGACAGGCACTATCCGATGTCCCCGGCGGTGCAAGCTCTTGTCTATAAAGAAGTGGATGAGATGCTGAAACTAAAAGTGATAGAGGAATGTGAGAGTCCTTGGAATAACCGAACTACTATTGTCCGAAAACCAAGTAAAAACAGATTTTGCTTGGATGCAAGAAAACTCAACGCGCTGACGGTGAAAGATGCCTATCCGCTGCAAAATATCGAAGGCATTCTAAGTCGTATCGATCATACGCACTACATAAGCAGCATAGATTTAAAACATGCTTTCTGGCAGATCGAGTTGGACACGGATAGCAAGCAATACACGGCGTTTACCGTCCCGGGACGGCCTCTTTACCAATTTTGCGTTATGCCGTTCGGACTTTGTAACGCCGCGCAAAGGCTATGTCGTTTAATGGACAAAGTAGTGCCACACAGACTTAAGCAGAACGTCTTTGTATATTTGGATGATCTTTTGGTAATCTCGGAGGACTTTGAAACGCATCTAAAACTGCTGGAAGAAGTGGCGATCTGTTTCGAGAAAGCCAATTTGACGATCGGACTAAAAAAGTCACATTTTTGTTTCAAATAATTAAAATACCTTGGGTATATCATTGGAGGAGGAGCGCTGAGGACAGACCCAACAAAAATAGAAGCCATCCGAAAAATCCCGATGCCAAAAACCACACGAGAAGTCCGGAAATTTCTTGGTACTGCTGGGTGGTACAGGCGTTTCATTAATAATTTCGCGGCGCTGTCAGCTCCGCTCACGGATACCCTCAAGAAGAGCCAAAAATTTGCAGTGACTCCAGCCGCAATGGATGCTTTCAACGCGCTGAAACAAGCGCTTACAACAGCGCCGGTACTTCGTCATCCCGACTTTCGCAAGCGATTTTTCATCCAGTGCGATGCGTCCGATCTGGGCGTAGGCGCAGTTTTATTTCAAAAAGAGGAAGACGGTTCGGAGTGTCCCATTGCCTTCTTCTCGCAAAAATTAAATAGCTGCCAACGAAATTACAGCGTGACGGAGAAGGAATGTCTCGCCGCCGTATTAGCTGTTAAACGTTTTCGCCCATATGTGGAAATGATGGCCTTCACAGTGGTCACCGACCACGCGAGTCTGAAGTGGCTGATGTCCCTCCGTGATTTAAACGGACGCTTGGCTCGATGGTCGCTTCAATTGCAATGCTATGACTTTGAGATCGAACATCGCAAAGGCACAGAAAACATTGTGGCGGACACTCTTTCGCGCTGTATCGAGGAAGTTACTGCCAGTGAATATCCGGTATTATCTTTTGACACAACCGAGTTCGAATCCGAGGAATACCAGGAACTAAAAAAAGAAATTGAAGAAAATACCAGCAAATTACCAGATATAAAAATCGAAAGCGGCTATATTTTTAAACGTACCGTGTTTTCCAAAAGTGATGAGGAGCAGGAATTCGCCTGGAAACTGTGGATCCCATCATCGCTTACATCGACACTCATAGCCGAAGCACACGAGCCGGAGAGTAAAGCGCATGGCGGGATAGGTAAAACGCTGCATAGACTCCGTCGGTTTTATTATTGGCCGAGGATGGCATCCCAGGTCGCTAATCACACCAAAAACTGCGTGATATGTCAACAGTGCAAAGCCCCTAATCACAGCTTGAATCCAGGTATAGGAAACGAAGTAATAACAGACAGGCCCTTTCAGAAACTATACGTCGACTTTTTAGGCAAATACCCGCGGTCTAAAAGAGGCAACGCCTACATTTTCATTGTCGTGGATCATTTTTCAAAATTCATTTTTTTGAAAGCTATGCGCGAGGCCACCGCGAACAATGTGGTCTCATTTCTAACACAAGAAGTATTCAATAAGTTCGGTGTGCCAGAAACATTGCATTCTGACAATGGCAAGCAATTTATAGCGAAGGAGTTTCAGAAAATGATCAGTCAATACAAAATTAAACACCTAAAAACCGCCTTTTATGCTCCGCAGTCCAATGCCGCCGAGAGGGTCAATCGGTCGGTATTGGCTGCGATAAGATCGTACCTAGACGAAGACCATCGGGAATGGGACCTCTACATATCGGAAATCGAATGTGCTCTTCGCACTTCGGTGCACGCAGCCACGGGCGTTACGCCCTATTTTGCGTTGTTCGGACAGAACATGTTCACGTCGGGAAATGACTATATGCTTGCGCGGAAATTGTTGTCGTTAGGCGCCGTAGATACAAATATTGTGAACCGCGAAGATAAACTGCAATTACTGCGCGAAAAAATTAAAAGTAAATTACACACCGCATATGAACAAAGCGCGCAGCGATACAATAAACGAAGTCGCGCAGTGCACTTTAGGCCCGGTCAGGAGGTGTACCGACGAAACTATGTGCTTTCCGACTTCAAGAATAATATTAATGCTAAATTTTGCCCCAAATACAGAAAGTGTCGCATCGTCAAGCCCATAGGCAACAACATGTTTGAACTGGAAACACTACAAGGCAAGTCATTAGGAGCGTGCCATATCAAAGACCTAAAGCAATAGTTTTTTTTATTTTTTATGCCCGGCTGAGTCGGTAGAACATGAGCTATAATTATCTCAGGGAGTGGGCGTGACCTACGCTGGGCGCCTTTAACAGATGTTAATTCCAAGTACCCTTTTTAGTAAAAAAATGTAACAGCTAGGCCGTATTTCAATATTGAGACTGCACCAGAATTTCACCACCTTATCAGGCTTTCGTCGCAGCTGCAAGCCGATAAGTCGGTGCGTTGTTATGTGAGCAGCCCCCGTCATTCAATAAATTTTT